GCTTTCAGACCCAGGTTGTGTTGGGCAACAGGAAGTTGACTGAAAATTGGTGAACATTTGCTTACTTCTGCAGAATACCGTAGTGTTTTCATGTTTCTCTCTGCAGGCCATTCTCTTATACCACTGATTGCTGCATAACAAACTACCTGAAAATGTAAAGGCTTAAAACAACCACTGTTTTACCATGTCTCACAACTGAAAGTCAGGAAGGGTAATTCTTCTGCTTCAGGTGGCATTGCCTGGTTACTACCTGATATTCCAGTATGGCAGCTGGACTGGTCTCAAGGGTCCATGCCAACTGAACTTATATGCTGGGCCTTGGCAGGGATGCCTGGAAGGCTGGGCTCAGTAGACCCTCCCTCTCTCCATATATTCTCCAGGCCTCTCCATGTGTTTTGTTTTTCCCCCCAAATGATTATTTTGTGTGTTTTTTAAATTGATTTTGAGAGAGAGGAAGTGAGGGGGAGAGAGAGAGACATCATTGTGAGAGAGAAACATCGATTGGCTGCCTCCCACATGTGCCCCAATTGGGGATTGAACCCACAACCTGGTTATGTGCCCTGACCAGGAATTGAACCTGCCACGTTTTGGTGTATGAAACAATGCTCCAACCAACTGAGCCACTCGGCCAGGGCTCCATGTGATTTCTTCATTGGTAGTTAGACTTCTTTACATTATGGCTAAGGGCTCTAAGAGCTAATATTCCAAGAGACAAGTAGAAGCTGCCAGTCTCTTTTAAGGCCTGGGCCTGGAAATTTCACCTCTGGTTGTGAGAGGTACTTGTAACCAAGATGGGAAAAGGGAGAGGAAGGGGAACCCAGCAGTGTGTGGAGAGCTTGGCAGGGTTGTCTGGACTGGGGAACTTCAGCCCTTTGTAAGGAAGAGAACATGGACTCCTGAGTGGGTGGTAAAGAAAATTGCTTGTAACAGATTTAATCACAGTGGCTCACAAAATGAACAGACGATGAGCTTTGACTCCAGGGTATATAGATAGATGGATTTGCCCAGGCTTGAAGTTCAGGTTGTGTCTGCTGTCACGGGTAACTGGGAGGGGCAGGAGCTGCCCTTGGCAAGAGAGCCTACCAACTGTGCTCACCAAGTGCTCACCTGCTGTTGAGTCCCAGGCCAGTGCGTTAGACATGTTATATCTTGTAATCCTCATAACAGCTCTTGAAGGTGGGTTGTTAAAGATCAGGAAGCCAAGGCCCTGAGAAGGAAACTCTCGCAACTCTGCAGCTGCTAATTAACTCAGTAGAACTGGGATTTGAATGAAGATATCTCCTGACTCCAAAGTTCTACTTCTTCTTGTTACTCCAGTGGTTCTTACTTACTGCAGCTGTACCTTAGGATCACCTAGAGAGTTTAATAGATACACAGATTTCAGTGTATTCCACCCAGCCTTGAAGACTTTGGCCTGGGTGGAATGAGGTGAAGATCAGGCACCAGCATGTTTAAAAATGCCATAGATGATTCTTTGTGCAGTTGGATTTCGAGCCATTGGAGGGTCTGAGGATGTCTTTGTGCCCTATGGGACTTGGGGTGTTGGGTTCGCGTGTCCTGCCCATCATGGTTTCTCCTCTGCCACAGGTCTGGTAAAGGATGCGGCCCGGCCGGCGTACTGGGTGCCCGACCATGAGATCCTGCACTGCCACAGCTGCCGGAAGGAGTTCAGCATCAAGCTCTCCAAGCACCACTGCCGGGCCTGCGGCCAGGGCTTCTGTGACGAGTGCTCCCATGACCGCCGGGCTGTCCCTTCTCGAGGCTGGGACCATCCTGTCCGAGTCTGCTTTAACTGCAATAAAAAGCCCGGTGACCTTTAACCCTAGCTCCCTCCACGTCCTTCACAATTCCTTAGGTTCTCAGGGTTAGAAACAGAAGTCTCATTGAGGTAGGCCCTCCTCCTGGTCACCTGTTGTGGTGTGTATCCTTTCTGCTTATCCTGGGGCCACTTTCCCACGGTGTGGGGTAGGGCAGATGACAAGCTGGGGGGAGCCTGGCGGCAGGCCCGAAGGCATAAGCCCCTTAGGGCAGGGGACCGAGCAGCTTATAGAATCCATTGCATTTATTTCAGTTAAAAATGACAAATATATACCCGTATAGATATATGAAAGGCATATGGAGTCTGTTCAGGCTGCTGCTGGTTGCAAAGACTTACTTCAGTCTGTCCCCAGCACAGGGATACGGTTGCAGTGGTAGCAGGTCTTCCCCATAAAACCGAGCCAGGTACAAAAGCCACTGTGTTGCTGGTCACCTTTTTTTCTTCCCAGGCCTTGGGAGCCTCTCCTTTCCTTGCCTTTTCCCTTCATGCCTCTTGGTTGCCTGGAGAAGTGAGGTTCCCAGGTACTTGCTTGGAATAGCCTGGAAGGGACCTACCTGGGCCCTCCAGAGCTGGATCCCAATCCTTGGCCTAAGCCTGTTTCAGAGACCACTCAACTTAGTGTGCAGGTCACCAGAGTGGGTGGAGGGTGAGGGGTAGGGTCCTCAGCCCTGAGAAGTCAGAGTGCAGGTGATGTGACGTCCTCATACCTGGGGAGAGCTGGGAAGGAAGTGGGCCTCCCCAGCAACGTTCCCTGCTTGTTGCTGCTTCTATCTGTGCATCCACTTGACTTTCCCAAAGGCCATACCCTGCTCCAAAATAGAGCACCTGCTTCCAACCCCCTCAAGCCCACCATCTGCTTCTGAGTGTTGCACTAGGATTTTTATTGCTTATTTTGAAGTGTCTTAATTCTTTGTTCCCAAACACATGACTCCTCTTGCTATTGGAGGGGTGATCATGAGAAATCTTCCAGGGAAACAGAGCACAGAATGGACTGTTAATTGTTTTCTGTTTTTGTCTTTTTGAGTATATATAAGTATTTCAACAGATCATGAAGAAAAAAATTCTCTCTGGTTCTTGCAAGAGAAGTCAAACAAACTTTTCTCATTAAGAGCTGGAACATCCATCTCTGTTGTGACTGGAAAGAGACTGTTGTGCTGAAATCCTGTCATCATGGTGGATTTTATCTTCAATGGCCAAAAACGAAGATTTAAAAAGTGACATTGTTCTTGACCGAACTGGTGGGTGGGCGGAGCTACAGGGAGGTACTTGGCAGTCACCCTGGTGTGAGTGTCAGTGTGACTTGAGCCCTGGAACACATCGGTCCTCAGACCTACTCCCTTGCTCCTGTGGCCGTGACTGAGGCCCTACTCTCGTACTGTGTATCATCAACTTCGCCATTATAAAGGAATCTTCCTGCTGAACACAGACTCTGCTGACTCCTTCCTTTCACGCCATTAGTAAGTCCTGTCCCTCTTTCTAGTTTATAGGAAGGTAGCTGGTGGCTTTCCAAGCAGAAGCCAGGTGAGGCGTATTTCTAGGGCATGGTCATATTTTACCTGTAAATACCTGAGTTTATTACTCTAACAAGAACTTAAAAAGCATAGCCATGTATCACAAAACCATTATCATATGGGTTTTAGTTTCACAACAACAGGCTGTTTTTCCCCAGCTTTGGATAGCGTGTCCCAGCTCTGTTTGCTAACTTGAACTAGGATCTTTGTGGATATTTCCTAACAGTGTGTTCAAACTGATGATCAGAGAATTTTTTTTTTTATATATATATGTTTTGTNACAGTGTGTTCAAACTGATGATCAGAGAATTTTTTTTTTTATATATATATATGTTTTGTTTTTTAAAATTGATTTTTAGAGAAAGGGGGGAGAGAGAGAGAAACATCGGTGAGAGAGAAACATCGATTAGAGGCCTCCTGCACGCCCCCTACCAGGGGATCGGGCCCGTAACCCGGGCATGTGCCCTGACCAGGAATCGAACCAGTGACCTCTTGGTGCACGGGATGGGGCTCAACCACTAAACCACACCAGCTGGGCCAGAGAACTCTTTTCTAGTGGTTAGAGGGCTCCACACATGCTCAATGACCATGCAGTTCTCTTGTACTTTGGCTGTTTACCAGAGCCTTCCACAGAGGGTGTGAGACCAGGTGGTTGTGGATTAGGGCTCAGAGCCACAGCACAGGCCGAGCTATGCCAGCCTGGTCTCGAGCAGGGCACCCTGTGGTGTAGTTGTAGCAGCAACTTAACAACTTGTGTTCTAAGGGTTTCACTCTGGTAGCTGTGAGCTCACATTCCCTGGGGAATCCTCTCTCACAAAGAGGCTGGGTGCCCAGCCAGGCATGGCTCAGTGGTTGAGCGTCAACCTAGGATCCAGGCAATCGGGGTTCAAGTCCCGGTCAGGGCACATGCCCGGGTTGCGGGAACGATCCCGTCGGGGGCGTGCAGGAGGCAACTGATCAATGACTCTCTCATCATTGATGTTTCTATCTCTTTCTCCCTCTCCTTTCCTCTCTCTGAAATCAATAAAGATATATATTTTTAAAAAAAAGATTAAAAAAAAAAAAAAAGAGGCTGGGTGTTACTAGTGGCCTATGGAAACACTGGGGAAAATTTTGTACCTTTTTATGTCATACCCCTGCCCTGCCTTGTCTTCATCTCCTGTCTCTACTTTCTTCATTCCTTTTTTTTTTTAATCCTCCCCTGAGGGTGTTTTTTCATTGCTTTTCAGAGAGAGAGACACATTGATTGGCTGCCTCCCGCACTCACCTTGACGGGCCAGGGATCAAGCTTGCAGCTGAGGTACATGGCCTTGGCTGGAATTGAACCCAGGACCCTTTAGTCCATAGGCTGACACACAAACCACTGAGCCAAACCAGCTAGGGCCCTTTTTTTTAAAAAAAATATGTCTTTACCGATTTCAGAGAGAGGAAGGAAGAGGGGGAGAGAAACATCAATGATGAGAGTCATTGATTGGCTGCCTCCTGCATGCCCCCCACTGGGGATCAAGCTGGAAACCTGCACATGTGGCTCTGCCAGGAATCGAACCGTACCTGGTTCATAGGTTGATGTTCAACCACTGAACCATGTTGGCCAGGCCAGGGGAAAGTTCTTTATAAAATACGAGGCATTAAAATGATAATATGTAGCTTATTTATCAGATGACCAATCATTCTCATCTTTTTAAAATTTATTTGGTTCTCTGTACATTAAGTTGAATCAGTTTGAGTTCTGGCAGGAAACAGATGTAACACTCAAGGGGGTAACTGAAGAGAGTTTAACTGGTGAAGCATTCTGGGCTAGCAACACTGAGGTACAGTTACCAGCTGTAGGTCTGAAGGGACAGATAGAAGGTACTGGAACCCAGAGAGAGCTGTGTTCCAAGGCAAGCTGTAGCCTTGGGTGGCGGAACACAGCCACAGTCCCCCACAGCCCAGCAGGAGGGGAGCCTGGGACTAACAATCCCACTTCACTCTCCTGCCCTCTGCATTCCTACTGGTAGGTCCCACTGGCTGTGCCCACCAGGGCTAGGGAGCCACTGAGGTAGTCCAGAGGTCAACTTGGGGAACACAGAGCAGGTGTAAAGGGCACACAGGTGGGTCTGGAGGGGCAAACGGAAGCTCCCCAGCAAAGCTATTAAGGCTGGTCCCAGTCTCTACCATTCTTTTTTCCTCACCCAAGATTTAAGTAGACATTACTGCAGCTGGTTTGTTCCTACAGCAGCCAAGCACCGTGGTCTAAATCATTAAAGTCAATGCATCATACCATGGTTCTTTCTGGTTTATTGTCTGGTAGAAAGACAAGCTCTTTAACACTTGGTATAAACATCTCACAGATTGCTTCTCTTAGACTGTGAAGTCACAGTCCATTTTCCTTGAGATGTGGCCCTTGAATCTAACATTCCAATCACCATGATAGAAGCAGGAGCTGCTGTACCTACCATCCTGGAGGGTGCCTCAACCAAAGGTGTGCCATGGCCGGCTTAGAACCTCTAGCTTCTGAAACGATCCATCTTTCTATCCAATGCCTATGAACGATGAGAATCCAGAACATTTGCTCCTGATATTGAATGTAAGAAGGCCAGTTAGATGACTCCAAACTCAGCCTTAAATCTTTCCCTAGAAACTCAGAGGAATGACTTCCCTCTTTCCCTTCTCTCCAGCTGGCCTCCTCAGGTACAGAGATGCATGACTTCCTGGGACCCAGGCACTGACTACCCTAACAGTCTCGCCCAGTCTCATCATTAGGCTTCTTGAAGAGGCTTTTGGTGAAAGAAGCTTTAATTTAGTTATTGTCCATCTTCAGCAATTATAAAAAGTATTTTTTGTTTTATAAAAGGGGAGAAGGGACTATTCTAAGGAATTTAACAAAAGGAAATAGGTACCTTTTATGAAAAGGACTTTGAAGCACTCTGAGCCCACAACTTAACTGAAATAACTTTACTAAAGTGTCTCCACATAAAACAGCACCTTCTTTCTCTCCAGCAGCTGGGTGGATGACATCTGTATACACAGAGCATCCATTTAAAATGCCTTCATTGGAAACAGCAATTATGGCAGAGGTATGGCTACTCTTCACTCCCTTCAGTCAAATCCACCTTCCTCCGGGCTGCTCCCTGCAGAATTAGCTGTAGGGGAAATAGTAAAGGTCCTGCTGGACAGCCATGAGCAGCCCCGGCGCTCCCTGGATGCCTCCAAACCGAGAAGAGAAGGCCACACTGGGAATGTTGGTCTTGGAGGTGGGGTGTGGGGAGGGTATGGTTCTGAGCAGGTGGGTATCGTGGAGGCTCCAGATTCTCGTGTAGCAGTCCTGGCCCACTAGGAAAGAGGGGAGACACGTGGCAGGTTAGTGAGAGTGCAGAGAACTTGTGGACATGGCTCCTCATGATTCCATGGGAGCCAGAACACAGACTCTCAAATGGGAAGTTTTCTACTGATACGTAGTTTTTGAAAATAAAAGTTATGGGTAGTCCTGGTGCTCTAGAACCATAACTAGTTGCATGTATTCGAAGTGACAAGGCACTGGCTGGCTGTGTGACATCTTGGATGGCTCACTGGGTATCCTGGCTAATTGGGTGGGCACTTAGTGCTTCTCTTAGTGTCAATGGCTGTTCAAGAGGGAGCCCAGCCCACCTGTCTCAATGATATGCAACTGATTTCCTTTTCATAAAACGTAGCCAGCAAGATCTCATAGCTTCATTACATCCTGGGGACAAACTAGGTGCAAATTCTCCCCAGAGCTCTTTCTGGCTTAATGGTTTAGTTCTAAAGACCACACAGTCTTCAGGGCTCAGTTGTGAGGAATGTGACAGCTAGCACCATTGGTTAGGGCGGCCCAGACACATGGTGTATGTACTGGAGAGCTTCAGAGGAAGACTGCAGACCTGAGGTGATCACTGATTCACGTTTGTGCTTCTGACTACCTGAGGGACATACAGCCACAGGTGCTCCCTCGGCTGTGGGTGCACTCAGGCAGCACCGTTCACTGATCGTCACAGCTAGCCCACTACCCACATTTGCCTGTCAACAGGGCTTATCTCTTTTCTGTTATCCAGAACGCAGAAACTTCTGAACTGAAAGCCTGTGGAAAATAGTTAAAAAGGAAGCTAACAGCTGGTGATGGGGACAGTAATAAATGAACCTAAGAAAGTTCTAACAAAGTGATGCTTCTTAGCTACAAAAAGACTTCATGGGGAATAAGTACTTTCTGTAGGAATATTAGCAAATTTGAGGATCTGTGAAGACCTCAAGGGCCTACTACTTCATTTGTCAAACCACCAAACTTTCACGCTATCAGAATATTCTATAATCCAGAAACAGTATAATCTTGTAACTCCTTTCAATGGGGTTTAGTGATGAGACAGCTCTGCTCCTGTTCTACATATCATGGATCCACAGGGATGGTGTTAGATCCTTTACAATGACCTTAATTTCTTCTCTCAGCATCCTCTGGTGGAAGTACAAAGAACAGGGAGCCCAAGCTTTTTGACAGGAAGTTGCATGATGGGATAAGGTCACTCTGAATGCTGACCTGGTGAACAGGTGTAAACCCTACACTCAGGTCTCCCAAGCTGCTGTTTTATTGTACCTAACCTGCCTGTCACTGAAATGATGTTTGTCCACTGATGTGGGAACAAAGGGCTGTCCAACTGGTGTATGTTCAAAGGGCTACTTATTAGTGCCCAACACTACATCCCATCTAGTCTCCCTGACCCCGGCAGTCCACAATCCCTCTATTCTGTTCTTAGAGTAATTTCTCCCTCTGCTGCTTAAGATGCTGGGGGCCCTAGGGGAGAGAATTTGGTGAATGGAATCTCCCCCGCCCCAGGTACCGGCCACCACGATTCCTTCTTCTTCATGCACGTGCAGGGGCAGGAGGGCGTACTCGTTCACGTGACCTTCATACTGCCTGATACACTTAGTGGTCCTCAGGTCCCACAGCTTGATCTGTGGGAAGAAGCACAAGAGGCCACTGAGGAGGGTCCAGCAGGTACAGTGGCGAACCCCAGACATGGAAGCCAGGGAAGCGGGGTGGTCTCCAAAGACCTCTTCGGGTTAGGAAAATCTAAGCCTCAAACTCCTGAGGCCTAGACTCCATCAAAAGCACCAGAACCAGTTTCATATCTGTCTAGACCAGACTGGGCTCCCAGTGCACAGCTCCCACCTCATCTCGTCCCTGGCTGCCTTTCCATGCTGCTGTCTGGCATGAGGGTCTCTTCTGCAGAGCCCCTCCACCCGACAGGCCTCTGGGCCACCAGCTCTGGTGGCTTGATAAGTCAGTGCCACCCTACCGTTCCAGCCATGTCAGAGGCCATCAGGTACTGCTCTTCTTGGAGGATTTGCACAGAGGTCACTGCTGAGTCGTGGAACAGGCGGGTGGCCTTCCAGTTCTTGCCCTGATTTCGACAACGAATATCAATGGCAAAGATCTCCCCAGAGCGACAGCCATTAAACAGCAAAGGAGTCTGTGGAAAGAGGGACTGCTTGGTACCTTCCTCTAAGGCTGGAAGGGGTGCACCCTCCAGAACACAACTCCTCCCCCCTCCTCTATCCCAACCCTCCTGGGTCAGAGGTGTGATTAGTGAGTTTGAGCCTCAGTGGAGTTAGAAGGGTTCCTTATGAAAGGGGAAAATATCTGGACCCCATGTGTCCCTCCAGGGACCTCCCCACTGGCTGCACTGGCTCCCTAGGCCTTATTCTGAAGCCCAAGTGATGGTGCCCTGTCTCTACCCAGGTCGTGTGTGAGAAACTGGGGAGATAAGTATGGAGTAGGAGAGATCAGAGGTCCAGATAAGACACGGGGTCCCAAACAGAGAGGGAAGATGGCTGAAGAAACCTGAATGAATGAACTCTGTGCTCACTGCTGAAAGCAGGTCGGCACACTCCTCCATATTTCTAACAAGGGATGGCATGTTCCATGGGACGTGTCTTTGAAATGTAGTAATGACTAGAATTTTGATTTTTAAATTTATAAAATGTGTAACTTGAAAGCTGTGTATGACAATATTAAAGGCTATGAACTGGGACTTAATTTATACATTAAAAAAACTGCTTGTCCTACTGGCTAATCCAAGTGCTACTTAAGAATTGCTAATAGTTCATTTAAATGGGAAGTTCTTCACACCCAGTGTAGCCAGGCCTTTCTGGGTCAGCCAACTCTCAGTGTAGACACATTCAGGTAACCTGTTAATCCTTCCCGATGAGCTTTTTTCCCTATAAAAGGGGGAGAGGACTAATGCCACATGGGAACCCAACTTCAATCCAGCAAAATGTCCACTCCTGAGAACTTTATATTGCACCCTTCCCAATCCAACCAACCATGACAGCAAACTGCTGGGCCAAGACGTCACTGCTGGTCCCAAATGACTGCCGGTGTCCCGTCACCACATTGGTCACCAGGACCCACCGAGACAAGCCTGAGACAGAGATGTGGTGGAGAGACAAGTGTCACTTGTAGTCTGGGGGGAGGAACTGCTGGACAGGGAGGTTTAAGGTCTGATAAACCCTTCACTCTGGGAACCTGGGGTGGCAGCCATGGCTCACCTGTACTGAAGCAGTTATTTGCCTGGATGTTCGAGGACCACGCACAGGACCAGGCCCCAGGGATCCGGAAACTGCAGAGCATGCCAGGTCGGTCTCCTGCTGAGAAAGTAGTGAATGTAAAGCATGGCTGCCCTCTGGGGACAGAGGCCTTCTCTTCACACTGCCAGGCCAGTGACCACTGGATGTGGGAAACTTCCAGAAATAGCAGCTCCAAGTGGTCTATACCGTGGCTCTAGTCTGGGGTTTGAGGTAGCAAAAAAGGGGACACTCAGCTGGGGTCCCTGGTTCAAAAGTGGTTATTCTGAGAGTGAATATATAAATTTTCCTAATGTCCCAGGAGGATGTCAGGGAGGCAGGATGGCGTCACAGATAAGAGGGCTTCAATCCCAGATCACACTATTAGATGTGTAATCTCAAGCAAAACATTAAATATATATATATCTTTATTGATTTCAGAGAGAGGAAGGGAGAGGGAGAGAGACAGAAACATCAATGATGAGTCACTGATCCACTGCTTCCTGCACGCCCCTGACTGGGGACCCAGCCTGCAACCCTGGCACGTGCCGATTGGGAGTCGAATCGGAAACCTCTTGGTGCACGGATGACGCTCAACCAAATGAGCCACACTGGCCTGGCAAACATTTCTTAAACTCTTTTATTAAGAAACATATGTAAAGGGTACAAATCATAAGTATACAGTTTAATGAATTATCACAAAGTAAATACGGCCACCACCCAGGTTAAAAAACAGAATTCCCAGTCCCCTCCCAATTACTACCTCCCCAAAGGGAACCACTATCCTGGTTTCTAACACCAGATTAGTTTTGTAAGGCAAATTCTGAACTTCTCTTTGCCCGTTTCCTGATCTGTAAATTGATGATAATACCTGCCTCATAAACTAGATGTATAATGAAATGCCAGGCACCGGGCTAAGTGCACACAGCCTCATTTAATTCTCAATGTGACCTGACGGGGTAGTATTATCTTCACTTTATAGAGGTTAAGCAACATGGCCAAGCTGGGGTTCGTGCCAGGTCTGCCAACTGATCCTAATTTTCTGAACGACTGGAAACTTAATATCCAGAATTCTGCCAGGAAGAAGTCCACTTTTGTGGATGATCTGTACCAGCAGCTCAAATATATATATATATCTTTATTGATTTCAGAGAGTGGAAGGGAAAGGGGAGAGAAGCACCAATGATGAGAGAGTCGTTGATTAGCTGCCTCCGACTGGGGATTGAGTCTGCAACCCGGGCATGTGCCCTGACTGGGAATCGAACCTCGACCTTCTGGATCTTAGGTCAATGCTCAACCGCTGAGCCATGCCTGGCCAGGCTCAAATAAATATTTGATTTCTTGCTCTGGTTACACATACTTCTAACTGTTCCAGCTTCTAAATGACCCAAAAGGAAGAAATATGTAAAGATGCACATGCTTGCCCTGGCTGGTGTGGCTCAGTTGGCTGGGTGTTACTCCATGTACCCAAAGGGTTGCCAGTTCAATTCCCAGTCAGGGTACATGCCCAGGTTGTGGGTTTGATCCCCAATAGGGGGTGCATGCAGGAGGCAGCTGACTGATGTTTCTCACATCTCTGTTTTTCTTTCTCTCTCTCCCTCCCTCTCTAAAATCAATAAAAATACTTTAAAAGATAAATAAATAAAATAGAGATGCACATACTTCTTGCATGAATCCTGGGTCAGGTTTAAGGACTCCTCACAGGTGCTTCTGCACTGTCTCCACCCTGTGAGCTCTGACTTGGGTTCACTCAGCCTGTGGTTCCCACCCCTCCTGTCCAAACCTTCGCCAGGAGCTTATGTGTTGTTGGCTGTAGCTTCTGGGAGGCAGGGACAGAGACCTCTGTCACAGCACCCCCTTATGAAAAAAAAAAGGACCTGGTACCTGGATGACTATTGACGAACAGTGACGCTGGGAGCAGGGTGGCACAGCCTGGCGTCTCCGCTATTCCCATGAGGCAAAGCCTGGAAACGCTGTTAAGGACAGTCATGTGCAAGCTCTCCTCTGGGAGGAGAATGGGCATTAGTACCCTTCAAAAATTACAAAAATAACACCCATAAAGCCAGATTTAACACATTTACATTTTCCAGAGTTTCAGATTTTTTTAAAGGAAAAAATGTCACAGACACAGTTAAAAGCCCTCTTTGACCCCTCCCCAGCCCAATTCTCTCTTCTCCCTCATCCAGAAAGAATCACTATTCTGAAACTGGTCTGAGTTCTAGGACATGTTGTATTTCCACAGTGTATTTGTCCACAAGCAATATAAAGAACTGTTAATGTTTTAAAAACATATGTAAACGGCATCACTCAGAGTATCTTCTGTAAATTTTCAATCTCCACTGTCTTCTAGATTCATCAGTGTTGATGTTTGTAGTCCTAGTTCCTTCATTTACATCATTCTTCGTATAAATATATCACAATTTATTTATTTGTCTTCTGCTGCTGGGCACTTAGGGTGTTTTTCTTTTTGCTCTGCTGCTAGGATGAGCACCTTCCTCCTATCTCCCATGCCCATGTGTGGGAGCCTTTACTAAGGAAGTGTTTCTTATTAATCCCAGGGTAAGAATTTAATTTTATACTACTACATGCTATATACACACAAATATTTGAAGCAAAAGTTTTATAAAAGATTTGCCCTTACTAAGTATGAAACTCTGATATTTTCTAGTCTATTTCATTTTAAAAATGCTGCCCACAAGTTGCCAGGTGATGACCTGCAGTTTGGAAACTGCCCTGAAGTCTACACCTCGAGTGGAACTATGGGGTTGTGAGGTTCTTGCAGCCTCAACTTAAAGTGGTTGTATCATGCATTTATCCAGCAATGTTCCCCATTCTCCACATCTGCCACATCTTGGAACTATCAGACTTTGAAAATCTGTGCTTATCTGAGTGGGTAAAAACCGACATCCCGTTATTTAAATTTGCATTTCCCTGACTACAACTGGATGTGCGGATTCATTTGGTCATAGTCATGTGGGCTTCCTTTTTAAGTGTCTCTTTATAATCTGCGTACTTTTCTCCTGGTCTGTCTTCTGACTGATCTGGTTCCTCTCCCCTTCCTTTCACTGCCTAACTTCTCTGGAAAGGAACCTATGTTTATCCCCACTCCTTGCCATTCTTTCACTCTTCAACCCACTAAAATTCAGGTATGACACCTTTCCATTAAATGTCCTCCCCAAGGACACAGACATCACTACACGGACTGATCACCTGTTGAGCTGCTCATCTCTAGCACTTTGCACAGGGATTGCATATGTTCAGTAGATGTTGGTGGAATGAACACACACGCCCCTCATCAAAAAATGTTAATATTTACAAAGCTATCAGGCAACACTCTTGACAGTCTGTATGACGCGTGCGTGTCATGCTGCCTTGGGTGGTAAGCCCCACGTTAAGTACCTCTAGTATGGAGGGCAAGGATGTGGGGAGAAAGTCCTTACGCATGTGCACTTTTAGTGACTGTGGCTGAAACCCAGGTGACAGCCAAACTTTGGATACTTACAGGGCGAGTATTGTGGGTTTAATCCTTCAACAGGCCAAAGGTTAACAAAGAGCCCAGTAAGTGTAGAAGAGAATTCAGTCTAACCTTCCACCACTCTCTGGGGGAAAATGAAGAATGCAGGTCTGAACAGGTAGCATTTTTGTAAAGGGAGCAAGCTCCATGTCCTTTAGCAGAAGCAGCAGGTGCACAAAAGCCTGAAGATTACCTGAAATGACCACCAGAGGGCAAGCTGCTGATCCAGTTACAACAGGCCATACTCTTCATACTATTCAAACTCAATTATATGGATTTCTATCCTCTCAGCCCACAGAAACACAAAAAAATACCATACTGTTTTAAAATTAAAAATGAGAGGAGATTATTGTTTCTCTCTCTTTTAAGGCTTGGTCTCTTCTGTCCTCTGGTAACATCAGTTAACAGGTGGTCCCATCATCCCAAAGAACATCCCAAAAGAAAGCCACATAAAACTTTCAATTTACCAAACACAGTTTTGTCTTATGTAAAGTTTATAATCAGATCTCTAATTTAGGTTTTAAAACCCTTTGAAACAGAGTGCTGTGGAATACATTTAAAAAACAGTTTCAGCCATCACTTGTTGAGGACCCACTACATGCCAAGCATTGTGCTAGGTGTACTCAAAGATGTTACCTGTTAACTCATGTAGGGGTTTGATACCAGTGGTCATGGTTTTAAGAACTCTTTTATTATGGAGATGATTCAAGACAAGATTCATTAACATGTGGCTTTGGCTTTAGGTCAAACAATATTCTTCCCTGAATCACATGGACAGCTGTCCTGTGCATCAAGAGGCCCCAGGGACTCCAGAGGAAGGGCCCAGCTACCCTGCTGCTGCACCACTGTGCTCCTAGCAAAAAGGCCCTGTTGGCTTTCTGGGAGGGCAGACTAGAATGAAGAGCGCTCTAAAGAAGGCCACCTCTGGCAGGGACCCTATGCCCAGAGCCCACAGACCCAGGTCCCATGCCAAAGGAACTCCCTCTCTGGTGCCTGCCCTTAGCCTCCCCAGGAGGCCTATCCCACCCTGGGACCACTGCGGCTCTTGGCTCCTTCAGGATTTGGGGTTCCTTCCCAAGATTTTACTGCTCCTCTCTGCTTTATTCCTCTGCTAAAGCACCAACTCTCAAGTTCACCGTTACCTCAGCCACTCTAGGACCGCAACGCCCTCCCTGAGCATCACGGGAACCCTTGTTTTCTACCCATGTGCACTGCCCTTTCTGAAGGGTGAGAGAATGTGCAGAATGGCCCAGACCTCTGACCACTAAGATGCCACTTCACAAACCCCACAGATGCCCGTCCACATCAGGGCATGGCCTGCCCACCAAACCTCTTCATCTGCCAAAAGATACAGAATGTGAGAATCCAGGTGATTCAGCGAGGCCCAGCACACAGAGTTCACCTGTGAGGAAGCACACAGCAAGACGGGAAGATTGGTCTGGCCGCCTCCTCACGGACAGAAACAGATTCTTTCTTGTGGAAGGACTTGTGGGGATATAGACACGTGACTTCCTCAGGTCTCGCTCCTTTAAAAGGGGCTGGAACAAGCATTCTGAGAGCAGGGAAGCTCCTTGCCCGAGCACAGAGAGCCTTGAAGAAGGGCAGGGAAGTAACCGCCCAGCCTCAGTCCTGCATCGTCAGCACGGGCCTCAGAGCGAGACATCCGGTGTACTCTCCAGGGCAGGGTAGTCTTCAATGGCAGGAAGCAAACCTAACTCTGAAGGTGCACTCTATCTCATTTTACCCAGAACCCATTTTCAATCCATCTTGGGGCTCATATCCCAACAGAACAGAAAGCCACAGCTCCTTACAGATGTAGCTGTCACCCCACTGCAATTTAAAGGTTGCCCCTTAGACATCAAGCTCCTCAAATTAAAATAAACCTCAGCGTCAGCCACAGACTGGCTGAGTGACTGACCCATCACCCTGACACACTGGGAGGACCCTCCACCCAGGCCACTGCAGGAGCTCTGTGCCTTGGTGTGAGCTCCTTCGAATCAACTCAATCCTCTTGAAGGGAGGGTCCTTACAACCAGCTAAAGCAGCATTACTTCAAGTCTTCCCACATCTAAATTCTTTTCTCTCAGAGACAAGAAACTCCTGAGGCCCTTTTCTTCCTCTGTGGGTTCTCAGGATCTAAAACTCCATCTCTCTCTTGGGAACATAAGGTGACTGAGCGTGGCCCTCTTCCCCAAGGCCTCTCCTCCACTCTGAATTAGGCTAACCATGGCAGTGCCCCGGGAGCCAAAGGCAAGTGGGCTGCAAGGCTAAGGGGAGGGGCAGAGTACCTTCCGGTAGGTGAAGTAGAGGTTCTCGTGCATATGCACCCTGAGTGTGGGGGTCTGCAGACCGTGCAGGCTGATGATGCCGTACTTGGAGCCTCCAACTTTAACATCATTCACTGTGAAGAGCCGGTCACTGTTGGTATCCGCCTGGAAAGGGAAAGTGACTTGTAGGTGACCTCCCAGGCCTAAGACCATCTGCCCGTCTCTCACAGCCCCTGTGCTTTGCATTTTCACCAGGTGAGAGCTCCTGTCCATGAGGGAGCATGGAGATGACCTAATTTGCCCCTACTTGGCGTAGCCATCACTGGGCAAAGCTAACAGGGGTCTGGCGTCACAATTCAGGAGCAAGGATGGGGACAGCACTGAGAGGGTGTGGCCAGGAAGTCTGAGGTCTGCGCAGTGACCCCACTCAGAACTATGTTTGAAGAGTTCTAATGTCCACCGACCAATAGGAATTGTTCAGATGAGACTCCTGGTGACAGAGCATGTGGCCATCATGAAAGCCATTTTGTCTCGCTCACTCTCCTGGGCTTTGCCTAGGCCTCCAGGAAAGACAGGGCTTGCTGGGCAGGCCATGCTCTGTTGTGGCCTCGGATCCCCAGTCTGGCTGAGTAGTCTGGCTCCTTCTGTTCGCAGCAGGCCCTCTGCCAACATTTCCCTGACCCCTGGACTCCAGGAGCTGGCCCTGGCTTCCAGTCTGGGTCTAAATAAAAGCAGAGAAGACTTTCTATTCCTTGAAAATGGCATGATGAAGGTGGGTGTGCAGACCCAGCCAGGCCTACAGGCCCCTGCTACTCGGGTCAGAACAACAAACAAGGGAGTAACATGCCGCTGCCACTGAGGACACTGGGGCTCTAGGGTTGGCCACCAAATTCTGCCCAGTATAGGAAAGATTAGAAGCTCCCGGTCCACGGTGTACCCTTCTGATGTGTACACAACACACCACAGGGAAAGTTACTTTGTGAAGGTTCTCAGTCAATGTGAGGTGGATGCTGGCTCTCAAGTCCAATGTAGTAGGGGTGACAATGGGTAGCCAGTAGGTGCCTGTTGGAAGTATAAAACCTAGCCTGGCCGGGAGTGGCTCAGGGGTTGAGCATCGACCTAGGATCCAGGAGATTGCGGTTTGATTCCCGGTCAGGGCACATGCCTGGGTTGCGGGCTCGATCCCCAGTTGGGGGCGTGCAGGATGCAGCTGATTAATGACCCTCATCATTGATGTTTCTATTTCTCTCTCCCTTTCCCTTCCTCTCTCTGGAATCAATAAAGATATATTAAAAAAAAAAAAGAAGTATAAAGCCTAGTGGACACTTGTTTTCATGCAATTGGCATCTACACAGACAGGCTTGGTGGAAGCCAATGCTAAGGCATAAAGTGTCCAGGATGACAGAATACCCCCGGCACCCACATATAGCTCCCTCCCACTCACCAGTATGAAGTTAAATCGGTCGCTTGCCAAAGCAGAGGGATCCGAGCTATGAATCTGAACTTTTTTCCTCTGCATGCAGCTCACTCGCAGCTCATGGGCTAAACTGCAGAAGGGAAAGAGAGGGGAAGGGAGGGATGGGCACCACACCTAGCTCTCCATGAGGAAGATACAGGGGTTCTGCCCTGCCCCACACCCTCAAGACCATCTTCCCTAGTTGGCCCTCCCTGTATTATTTCTCAGCAATGGAAATGAGCAAGATCCCAAATAAATACAATTTTACAACTCTTAGGAAAACTAAAGCAAAGAAATGGGTGGCCCATTTACAGGGTCAAAGAAAGTTAGAACCAGAGGAACCTGTTTTTAGATCATCTAGTCACAACTCTTTCTCTTGAGACCAAGAGAAGGTGCCTGAGAAATAAAACATGCTGAAGGGCACACAGCTAATGAGAGGAGCACAGGCATGCGGCTGCCCATCTTACTGCCCCTTCCCCTCTCCACATCTCGCTACCTCTCCAGGAAGGACGAAGCATGTTTTAGGGTGAAGAACAGATCTTTAAACTACATCTTTAACTCTTTTAGGGAAATAAAGGAGAGGCATGTTCCTACCTGCCCTGGCTCACACCTCCTGTATGGCTGACCTACATGAAAGGCAGCCCTCTCCAAGATTAGAGACTGTGTCCCCTATAAGCCACCCACACTCACGTTGTTTCTTCACCTGCCCACACTCAGTGGGAGGCAGCAGAACACAGGGATTAGGAGCTCAGGCACTGGGAGTCAGACAGATCCCATCCTTTCTAGCTTTACCTTGAGAAAAATCACTCCACTCTGAGCCTCAGTCTCTTCTTCTAGAACCCAGGGGAAGTATCAACCTATCTCAAAGGGTTTTAGTTAGAATTAGATCAGGAATCACAAGTACTTAGATAAAGCTTTGTACACACACATGTATTTAATGTTCCATTTTTGGTAACAACTTATTAGGTCAGGAGAATATAAGACCTATTACTAAACTAAACATGATTCATGAGTAAGAGAGGGAACATCCTGAGAAATTTCTGCCCAGTTTCTCTTCCTGGATCCCTTCTCCTCTCTCCCTGGCCTCCTGTAGGAGTCTCCCCGCTTGCTCTAGAGGGAAAGTGATCCTCTCAGGGCTGGTTGCAGCAGCAGATGACAGGCTGTGAGCTGGAGCCCCTCAATTGTGAAGGCTCCTCACAGAGCAGCTCTGTGGTCTCCTGACTGAATTCTTGGACCACGGAAATAAAAAACAGAAAAAGAATACTCAGGAAGAAATCAACAGAGAGGCACTGACTTACCGGCAGTAAGTGGTGGCATTGAGAAAACCCAGCTTGCTTTTTTGTAGCAAGGAAGATGCATTCAATCCCATCCTGGTTATTTTCTAAATTAAAAAATAAAAGATTCAGTGAAGTTTTATGTTATAAAATAACAGAATATATATATGTGTGTGTATATACACACACACACACACACACACACACATTTTTTATCCTCATCCGAGGATATTTTTTCCATTGCTTTTCAGAGAGAGTGGAAGGGGGCTGGAGAGAGAGAGAGAGAGAGACAGACAGACAGACAGATCAATTGGTTGCCTCCCGCATGCACCCCACCCAGGGGCTGGGATTGAGCCTGCAGCCGAGGTACGTGCCCTTGACCGGAATCAAACTTGAGACCCTTCAGTCCACGGGCCGGTGCTCTAACCACTGTGCCAAGCCGGCCAGGGCAACAGAAAATATTTTTTAGTTCCACAGGATGCAATGAAGAAATGTTACTAAGTTGGCAGAAATTATATGCATATAAATCTGACGGTTTCCTTGGCTAGTCTCCTCTTGGCAAGAGGAAAAGAAAATCACAAGAACGAAGGTGTGAGCTGGAAGGTCTGCGCAAAGCCTCTGTCCAAGCCCCCAGTCAATTTATACCTGGGGCGAAGCCACCAAACACGTGAGTGCAGGAATGGCGCTGGCACTCAGGTCGACCTATGGTGACCCTGGGGCCCAGATTTTCTATTCTGTTGCCCCCATAACCATCAAAATGTCCTGGCATCTAAACACCAGAAGGGATATCAGAAACCCTCATATCCAAACCATATACCCTGGTTTTCTACTTAAAATATACAGTTACTGAAACTGTATCATGCTGCTTCTCAAGATTCCCCCAGGAAAGGACAAAGCGTTGAATTACTGATGAAACGCTGCAAATAGGGAAAGTGGAGCGGGAGGACTGCCCGCTTGCTCTTCCCAGGTTCCTGCCAGGGAAAACCCAACTCCACGCTTCCTAAAGAGCACCACGCTGAGTGCTACCGGGGGCACTGAACTGGCGCCTGCCTTCAGCAGCGGGTGGAGGCTGGCAGGAGTGCAGGGCAGAGGGAGGCCCCCAGGAGTGTGGAGCCCACCTTTTTCTGCTTGTTCTCTTCCTCTAGCAGCTGCAGCCTTTTGTGCTCCATTTCCTTCTGCTGGATGCCCTCCTTTGTGAGTGGGTTGCAGTTGTTATGTCCAGGCAGCAAGCGGAAGTACCGATTCTTTTCAGGGTCAAAGTAATACCCTGGTAGATCTTTAGTCAAAAGAAATAAAATCCAACTTAAAACACTGATCTGACCCACCTAGAAAGGAGCCCAGTGGCTTGTCTACCACCCCTCACAACTGCCTGTCTTTCTAAGGGGCGGGAGGTGGGCTAACGTTGTCAGTCACCGTCCTGGGCCCAGTTCAGTGCTTGGGGGAGCTGTTTGCTTGAGGGCCACAGTTCTTGGTGTACTCATTCCTCCCTTTAGTGTTCCGATTTGCTCCCAGAATTTCCTCCAAGCCCGGAATGAGCTGGTGACAAACACAAGGAGTACACCCACATGCAGGTGAAGACACTGGGCTGAGGAGGAAGGGCAGTCAGAACAGATATAAGCAGTCAATGAGGCAGGACTAGATTTCATCTGTCCCTGAGGGCAGGGCCAGAGGAGTCCTATGTGGCAGATGGCCTTACCTGGCACAGAGGAACTCCCAGCTGTGTTGGATGAAGTCGACGGGACCTCCCCATCGTTGTGGTTGTGGATGTGGACATAATCCTGTGGGCTCTGCTGAGCCCGTGTGCTACACCTGTGGACACAGTCATGGTAACTTGCAGGGAAGGGTTGGAGATCCAGTCATTCTGTGACTGTGGGGTCCTGGGAGGGGGCAGGTCGGCAGTGCCATAGCCTTCACTCCTGACCCTCTGACCTTCAATTACTTGGGGAGCACTGATCCTGCTTTTCCTTGAAAGTAGTTTATCTACTGCAAATACACCAAAGTTAGGGCAAGACTTTGTTTCTCATCCTTAACAGGATGCATGTCACAGTAATTCCCTTTTCTTATCTCCTCACTTGAGCATTTCATGAGGTCTTATGGAATTTTCTAGATGAAAAGGAGAAATCTTAGCCAATCAGAATTCTACCAGCTGGGCTCATTTGTCATCTCAACAGCAGTTACAAGGCCAGGTGAATTTCATTCTTTATTGGATCCAGCAGTACAAAGAGTTTAAATTGCACTTGGCTACTCAACCTTACAGATGGAGAAACTGGGGTTCAGGGAACAGAGGTGATTTGCTCAGTAATACTGGGATAGAGCCATGGTTTAAACACTCGTTTTGAAAAGCTACAAGCAGCTACTATGGAATTAAAGGCTAAAGGATACAATGATAGAGCAAAAGACCTAACTTCAGAATGATGATGAAATCCTCTTTAAAATCAAGAACTTCCCTTCTCCCCCCGTACCAAAAGGAGTAGAAATTGCAGAACTTGGTTGAAGAAATGAAAGAACTTTCACTTGTCTATAAATACTAACTATGCATGGTTTCAGGAAAAAATAATTCTCCCTTTTTATGTCCCAGAGCTTACTGGGGCAGCTCATCTGTGATCAGCAGCAGGAGAAGGAAGGATTAACTGTCATGACAAATATCTGTGTTTCTGGTCCAAGGACTGCCTCTCCATTCTTTCCACATGGAGCCCAGAAAGTGGCTCTCTAGCGTGTTTCCATGTAACTCTGCCAAAGCTGAGTTGAGATTCTTCTTGCACAGATCACATTTTACTACACACTGTGCTCTTGTGGAAAGGCCTGGGCCCAAAGAGTATCCATGGTTCTCCTTTCAAAACATATATACACTGGGCACTGTCCTGATCTTTCTACAATATTGGTCAAGTTTGTGACTTTGGCTTAGAGTAGTATTTTATTCTGCACCTAATGAGGCCCACCATGTACAGAAGGCCTACTCAGGGCCAGGGGAGCATGTTAGGGGCTTTATATACATTATTGCAAACTTCACAAGGGAAGTATTGTACAAGAAGAGTAATTAAACATGATGAAGTAACTTGCCCGTAGGAAAAAGCAGCAGTAAACTCAGACCTCTTCACTCCAAAGCCCTTCCTCCTTCCACCACATTTTTTTTTTTTTAATATCTTTATTGATTTCAGAGAGAGGAAGAGAGAGAGACAGAAACATCAATGATGAGAAAGTCATTGATCGAGCCCACAACCCAAGCATGTGCCCTGACCGGGAATCGAACCCTGATTGCCTGGATCCTAGGTCGATGCTCAACCTCTGAGCCACGCCCGGCCGGGCCCCTTCCACCACATTTTGATGCCATTTGTCACTGTGTGGATTCATCTGTTCTAGAGATGCACCATGGCACCTGACATCTTCTGACCTGATAACTAGAAATCTACCCATTTTGAAAGGAGGTCTGGAGTATGGAAGGATTTAGAAATTGGCACACAGGTCCCCTTTGGTGAGGAGGGGGCTGTGCAGATTTCTTATGGCCAGAAGTCACACCAGCAGCCCTGCACTGGGAAGGTGTCCTCTCCGGGCATGAGGTAATGGGTGGAATCTTGTTCTGAGACTAGACTGCTTATATTCCCTTCACGGAGAAAAATACGTAGAGTGGAAAATGTCTATACTGGATTTCAACTAAGTACTGACTAGGCTTTATTTCTTAAGCTGGGTGGTAGGTGCACGGTATTCATTGTGCTATTCTTGATACCTTTTTGTGTTTTTAAATACTTTATTATACATATACACACACACACAGCTTCTCTCTCAGAACTTAGACCGAATTAATGAAATTACATTTCCAGAAAGCTATTTTCACTGGATGGCAGGGGAAAGGACAAGAAAAGAGAGAGAGGGCGTTTATAAAATGGAGAAACAACTCTCCCCCAGTTGTATCAGACAATGTCGACTTCTAAGCCTATGGCTAATGCTCTGGCCAGAAGTCATGGTCACTCTGAAAAGAAAGAAGTGTGGGGCTGTCTCTCCTCACTACTCAAAGTATGGCAGGCAGGCTGACCTGCAGCAGCAACACCCCCGGGAGCTTGTTAGAAATGCACTCTCATTGGGCCCCACCTCAGGCCCTGCATTTTAATGAACCCTCAGTGATCCATGTGTATGTGAGGGTGCTGGACAATACTAGAATGTACTGGGGACAGCACTTGCCTCTCGTCAGAACCATGTTGTCTGAGCCTAGGATTCTGCCGCTGGCTCCTTCTTCCGTGTCTTCTACTTTTCCAGCTGCTTTTATGCATTTCTGCTCCTAGAAAAGAAAATTACAATGTGTGTGCCCGCACTTTTCGCTTTTGTTCATTTCTAGATAATTCCTTCATGCTCAGAACTAGGCCCAACCTGGGTTATCATCAAAGCCACCATTCCAAGCCTCACCTCTACGTGTCTGTAGTCACTTCCCTGGCTGCAGTCTCTTACCTGACAGCTGACACCAGGCCTCACACCCTGCTACTCTCCATTCCCCGGGTCACTGTATGAGGTGTTGTCAGACTTTCACAATTACTTTAAGACAATAGTTTGAGCCTGGCATGCGGCTGTTCTTCTCCTTACCAGATAACATCAGAGCACATTATCTTTCTTTCAATCTACACATACCCTGTTTGCAGAAAAGAGTTAATAGTGAACACTTTCTCCTACAGTTTTAGTATTGAGCAGGGAAAATTGTGAACATAATTGATCAGGGGCCAGTGTGTATGACCTCTCAGTGTGCTTTCTAAATAGCGTTTTAGTTTCTGAAGCACACTAGTTGTTAAAACGGTGTGCACATGCTTCTTCTGGAAATAAGGAATGAGATAAAAGCACTTCTTAGTAACACTGATATTGCAATAACTATTTCAAGTGGCTTTTAAAAATCTTGTATAACCTGAATCGTATCACTTAATCATCAAAATATCACAGTTTTCACAATGGGAATTATATTCGTTTTTAAAAAGACTGGACCAGTTGCTCTAAGTTTCAGGCTTTCTCAACGCCTGGTGATTTTTTTCTCCACTGAATGGAGACACTGATGACATCTTACCTAATGCATTTTAGTTTTATTTTATTTATTTTTCAAACTAGGAGATAATATTTATTTGGAAAATCAGAGGTAGGAAAAAAAGTAATTCATAGAAGAAATGGGCTTAGGAAGATACAGGGGCACAGGAAGGGCCCTTCGAGCTTAGAAGTGAGGAAGGTAGAGGTAAAGCACCGGGGGATGGGGAAGGAGGGAGAAGGGAGCGCTGGCCTGCTCCTAGGAGAGCTCGCTGGGTCCTCTGTGCTAAAGGTTTTAAGGGTGGAGGTTTTAGGGGAAGTCCTCCAGGAAAATCTCAACAGAATATTCAGCAGCATTCTAGGTGTGTCCTTTCAGGGTCTTGGTATCTACTGACTTGATTCTTTGGCTCCAGGGCAGGGGTCATTATCCAATGCAGCTTGTCCTGAACTCAGCCATGGGGTCACTTGTCTGGTTTTGCTGCTTTCCTGGGCTTGGGTCTGAAATACAACTGGACCATCATCCTTGCTCTGCTCATGTCTAACTGCCTACCACATCCT